GTTAGGGATAAGGGTATGCTTTTTTTTATTTTTTTTTTCTATGTAATGTAAATGCACTTAGTTGTCTGCCACTGCTGCCAGCTTCTGTGTAAGGCTCACAGTGCCCATTTCCCCAGTCAGTGCCACCAATTACATCTGGTGTCACAATAGCTTGGATTTAAAAACAAAAAACTTTTTTCACTGTTATAGATTGAATAGCAGTCAGTTGTCTGCCACTGCTGCCAGCTTCTGTGTCAGGCTCACAGTGCATACTGTGCCCATTTCCCCAGTCAGTGCCACCACTTATATCTGGTGTCACAATAGCTTGGATTTAAAACAAAAAACTTTTTTCACTGTTATAGATTGAATAGCAGTCAGTGTCCTTAAAGCGGGTGTGTTACGCTAACAGTGGATACGCTGACAGGTGCCACTAATTAGATCTGGTGTCACAATAGCTTGGATTTAAAAACAAAAACTTTTTTTACTGTTATAGATTGAATAGCAGTCAGTGTCCTTAAAGCGGGTGTGTTACGCTAACAGTGGATACGCTGACAAGTGCCACTAATTAGATCTGGTGTCACAATGGTTTGGTTTTAAAAAAAAAATAATCTTTTTTCACTGTTATAGATTGAATAGCAGTCAGTGTCCTTAAAGCGGGTGTGTTACGCTAACAGTGGATACGCTGACAAGTGCCACTAATTAAGATCTGGTGTCTAGCTTGGATTTAAAAACAAAACTCTTTTTTCACTGTTATAGATTGAATAGCAGTTAGTGTCCTTAAGCCAGATTGTGTTCGGCTAACAGTGGATAAGCTGACCAGTGCCACCAATTAGATCTGAGTGACACAAGCTTGGATTTAAAAACAAAACACTTTTTTTCACTGTTATAGATTGAATAGCAGTCAGTGTCCTTAAGCGAAGATTGTGTTCGCTAACAATTGGATCGCTGACCAGTGCCACTAATTAGATCTGGTGTCACAATAGCTTGGTTTAAAAATAATCTTTTTCACTGTTATAAGATTGAATAGCAGTCAGTGTCCTTAAGCGGGTTATTATTCGCTAACAGTGGATCTGTTGACCAGTGCCACCAATTAGATCTGGTGACTGACACAAAGCTTTGGATTTAAAAACAAAAACACTTTTTCACTGTTATAGCTTATATAGCAGTCAGTGTCCTTAAAGCGGGTGTGTTACGCTAACAGTGGATACGCTGACAAGTGCCACTAATTAGATCTGGTGTCACAATAGTTTGGATTTAAAAATAATCTTTTTTCACTGTTATAGATTGAATAGCAGTCAGTGTCCTTAAAGCGGGTGTGTTACGCTAACAGTGGATACGCTGACCAGTGCCACTAATTAGATCTGGTGTCACAATAGTTTGGATTTAAAAAAATAATCTTTTTTCACTGTTATAGATTGAATAGCAGTCAGTGTCCTTAAAGCGGGTGTGTTACGCTAACAGTGGAT